TCTTCCCAAAGTCCACCAAAGGTCAGGAGCAGCATAACTTAGAAGCTGGTTTGCATTGGATTCTAGTCTGTATTCTGCATGTTTACTGACAGTCCCCCCCATGGAGGCTGGGTGGCTCTGTGACACTTGCGCAGCCATCCACACACACACACACCGAGGAGCTGAGATGGCTGTCTTGTAAATCTGCTATGGTGTAGGGGGTGATGGTAAAAGCATTGTTTCACAGTCAATAAAAGTGGCCCTGGGGTGCTTGTAAGAACAGCAATCTGCAGCAGTTTTCCAAGACAACATCTTGGGAGTACCCAAGGGGGGTTTAAGTTGAGTCCCACCTCGTATTTGGAGTTAATTTTTCGGATAAAACCTAAAATAATAATGTGCCCGCCACATATTGCAGAATCTAATGGGAAAAGATATGGTGTCACTGGAAAGCAACATGCACACGAGAGCCAAATCTCACCCCAGGAGGGACAGCAAAGCCCATAATGCTAGCCAGCAATTAATAGCACATTCATTATTTATTGTTTAGTGTTTCTGAGGTGTTTTTTTTAGCATACATTTTGTGTGACATTTGCATAAACTGGCGGAAGAAACTGCTGTCATTCATATCCATATTAATCCATTTTAAATGGGTGTTTGCACCCATTTGTCAGCTAGCTAAAAATGTACAAATGAGATAATGTTTTGAACATTAATTTCACTCAACCTTGCTAGAACATATGGCATATTAATGATGAAAATCACTCAATGTCAGTGAAAAGAATCTTCCAAATACTGTAACATCCTTTTCACTTTCTTTTAAAACATACTCCTGCTGCACTCCAACTATAGCAAACAACTTTCCTTGCATTAGTCCACAGTCTCTAACAGTACATGTCTATAAATGGTGCAAAGCTATATGTTTTGGGTGAGGATACTGAAGGCACTGTCTAGCAGCTGCCTTTATGTCCTATGCCAGGTACCTTAGGGGATAATCCATGTTGTGAAATTGAAGTGCAGTGCTGGAATATCAATACTTTTTTTTCTCCCTACTGGGAGTTTTAAAAAATGGAACAGAATTTGACTTCTTGGAGCTGGCTGGAGCAATGTAAACATCAAGATGGCAGGATGGGAGGTGCTGTGGAGGAGATCTTGCTGGAGAGGAGGCATAAATGAGGCAGTAAAGTTTAAAAAAATGCATCGCGTCAATTTAAAAAAAAAAGTGGCTAAAAAAGGCAACAGCTATTTATTTTCTAGTGTACATTGTAGAGATTAGCAAGAGCTATCTTAGCATAAAAACTACACGCATGGTAAGCATAACATGATAAGCAAACAATATATTCTATTAGGATCGAACACATTCCAACTTAACGTGTTATTGTAATCACATTACATTTTCCAGTAATGCAATAATGTGACGCGTTACTGTACTGATCTCGGTAATAATATAACAATATAATTAACTGTAATATTAGTATGTTGTTTTATGCGTTACATAATCTGCCGTTTTTCACACCGACAGAAATAAACCCACTTTTTTGTCCTGTTCGTTTGTGCAACAATCAACTTTTTTTAGTTGATGTGCTTAAAGGAGGAAAACGGTGAAGTGATCTACAGCTTTTGAGAAGTGGTGATATAGTCATTTCTTTTCGCCTCTGTCAGTGCGCCCCAGGGCAGCTGTGGCTACAATGTAGCTTGCCATCACCAGTGTGTGAATGGGTGGATGACTGAATGTAGTGCAAAGCACTTTGGGGTCCTTAGGGACTAAGTAAAGTGCTATACAAATACAGGCCATTTTACCATTTACCATTTTTATTTTTATTGCACAAAAGAAGTGCATAATGATGAAATGCAAACTGCATTTGGGATAGAAACATCTGCATAGTATTGCTAATACAACTTCAACTTCTTGCAACCAACTGCACAGACATGCTAACACAAAGCTAGCAAGGAACCCAGAATAGTATTAAAGCTGAGCCCATGCCGACTGTAGACTAGCAGGCAGACCCTGAACTTTAACAAAGGGAGTAATGAGGAGTCAGGCTTGCAGTCTCCATTTATACCTGTATATGTTTCAGTAGAATCATTGTAGTGATCACTTTAAAGTCCATTTGATCTTTGTCTATTTGGTTTTCATCTTTGCTTTGTGTTGCCAGCTTTATGTTCATACATATAAACCAAAAAAAAGATTGTGTGTGTGTCCTCATTAGGATATGGATGTGTGCATAAGTGTACCCTGTATAAGTTTTATATCGTTAACTGATAATTATGTGGCAATGAATTTTAGGTAATTTTCTTCAGAGTAAAATAAAAGTAATATAACAAGGAAAGCAACTAATTCGTTTATTCAGTAAGTAATTAAGTTTTTACCATTTCCAAAGGAATGTTGTTTTTTTTTAAGCAAATTAACACTTAGCAATGATTCATTCAACCATAAAAAATGGCACAGTGTCTACACATAAGAGACAATTTAGCAAGGAACCAATATTAAATTGTGTCTTCAGGCACTGTGTTACTATCAGCCTATCACAAAAACATGATAACATAGTTTGACAGGCGTATAATAGTATTTTGGCATAGCTTGTTGGTGATTTCCAAAGAGCTATTAGCCAAAACTTGACTTATCTGGTATATCTAAGATATTTTAGAAATATCAGGAAACTGACAAGTGCAGGATTGATGAAGAAGTAGCAGGCCTAAAAAAACTGTCTATAACAGATGAACAGTATCTAAAAGTCCTGTCTTTGAGGAGCAAAGCCTTGAGACAGGACCTGAGATATACATCTAGCCTTTTAGTTGATCCATAGCAGTGAAGGTCTCCAGTCATCTGTAAAACACAGAGGAGGGTCTGTCGTGGTTTGGGGCTGCGTTTCAGCCAGGGATGTTGGGGATCTTGTCAAATTATTAATGCAGAGTAATGCAGTCAGATTTTGAGTTATGCAAAATAACCCAAGACTAGACTGAAAATCAGTGGCAACAGGTCTAATGGAGCGATGAATCGAAATTCAGACAGTCTGTATGGAGGAAGGCCAGGAGATCAGCAAAACAGGGAGTATCTACTGCAATCTGTAAAACCTAGCAGAGGTCCTGTCATGGTTTAGGGTTGCATTTCAAGATGATCCCACACTGCTGGGGATCTTGTCAAAATTGATTACATTTCAAATACACACAATGATGGTCAGATTTTGATGTACCTTGCAGTACCATCTTGAAAGCATCTGATTGGCAATGGCTTCATTTTTCAGCATGAACCCACACACTGCCACTACAGCAAAAGCATATCAGGATAGAACAAAATAAAATCGATTGACCTGCTCAGAGTCTGGACCTCAACATTATTGAAGCAGTGCGGGATCATCTTGACAGACAACAGAACAAAAATCAGCCAGCAAAGAAGAACTTTAAATGTCCTTCATGAAGCCAGGAGAACTATTCCAAAGGACTACTTACATAAAGAACACATGTCAAGGAGAGTTCACGGTGTGTTGAAGAATAAAGGTGGTCATACCAAATATTGACTTTCAAGCTCGTTGGTATTGTACAAACTTTGCTTTTGCCTTTTATGCAGTTTTCCAGGTGTCTTTGCACGTTTCAATAAATAGCGGTTCCCATTCCCTATTTTCCTAGCAGAATATATAGAAACAGCAGATGAGTCGGAACTTTTGGACTCTATGTTTATTTTATGGGAAACAAATGAGTTTTTTTCTTTTAAGGACTGAAAAACTATGGATACACAGTTTGGGCACATCAGCGCAATCAAAGGGATTTTATGAAAACCCTTTTAAGACGTTGATTCACTAACCACATCTGTCCCTGCTCAAGATCAAAGTAAAGAAAAACAGTTAACCAAAGGTTTAAGTGGTGTAAGCCTTCTATCAGGAGAGCAGAAACAAAGGGATATACAAAAAACCCCACCAGCCATCTGACTTAAAAACTTGAAAGTTAAAGGGAGTAATTTGGAAAAGCAAATTTGATTCGGTCGCAGATGAAACAACACTTTGAGGTCAGGCAGTTCATCGTTAAACATATCATCTGACTGGGCACTGTAAAATGTTATGTTGCTTCTGGCAAATGGAGGGCAGGGTTATGCATACAGCAAGATAAATGATACACGCCGCACAAGGTCATTTGAGGTCTGCAAGAATAACGCCGTGGCTCACGCAGGATATATGAAAGACTGCTAAGAGGTACAGGATGTGGAACTGATTAACACAGATCAGCACACTGATTACACCAACTGAAAAACAAAAGCCAGGTACGGTTCACTGGTTATTCTCTAACAGACATTCATTGTGCTTTGTGTGACGACTACAAAACCAAACCCGCTCCTGTCTAATTTGGTTGAATTAATAAGCCATGTCCACATCTATTCAACTTGGCAAATGGTGGCTGTGAATTACAAGTCCCAATGTAATAGAGGAGAGAGCGGAAACGAAAGGCAGGTGAAGGCCAAACGACTTGCACGTGACAACTGAACACATCGTTACTGCCGCAACTCCCACGTAGAGCACACACACACACGCACAGCTGTTCTTGTTCATCCTCCCAAATGTCCCCGGAGTCAAGATACACGCAGAGTCCCTAGAGGCAGTTTTTGGAGGCGTTCTTCATTTTGAGGTCAAGTCCAATCTGACCTACAGTACTCAACAGTACAAATCCCTGATGGCAGAGAGGTGCTGGATGGATTTGAGTTTGCCATGAGCCTTTGACCTTGACTTGCTTTAGGGACACACACAGTGTTCCAGAATGAGCTTATTGTTTAGTGTGTACCCTTCCAGCCACACAACTTATCATCTATAGCCTAATATTGGCCTTAAGCGATTTGATTTTATATGTATATGCGAGAAACAAATAAATAAGGATTTAAATGATTTAATTCTTGCTTCTGGCAGAATGTTGTAGAATTATTATTTATTTTTGTTTTTGTTTAACACTATTGTCCTTTGAGATAGCTTACATAATTCGCAATCTAATTAAGCCTCTGCAACAACGTTGAGTTTCAGTAAGAACAAATGAAGAGGCAGTTTTTAGCTCCAAAATTAGCATTTTATTTGGAAGGTTGGGGTCAGAGATGTATAATTTGTGTTCCAGTACACATGGTTATCCACAAAGCTTAAGTCCAACACCTTTTTCCAGTCTTAAAGCTGATTCCGTAATTAGTGCCGAGCATAACATCCCACCCCCACCCCCAACCCTTTTTGGTACAAATTCAACAGTTGTGCTGACAAGATCACTACTTTAATTTCTTTTTTTTTTTTAAGTGTGTGGTTTTTTTTTCTTTTTTTTCTTACAAAAAACTCTCTTAACTTCTACACATTTAATGTCACCCAGATTTTTATTTTTTTTTTTCTTTCCACTTTGTAAATAAATTTGGGAAACAACAATTTTTTTTTCCTTTCTGTTGTCATGAAAAGATAAAAACATGCAAAAAACTTGAATTTGTAGTTCAAATTATACATTTACAAGTTTGGAACTTTTTGCACTTCTTCATATACTACATCAAAAGAAAGGATAAAGAAAAAAAAAACATTATGTACACATTATCTTATCTTTTTACAGTGAAGTAAAACTTGAAAATACCAGATGATGACTAAGGCAAATGAAGTGTACATAGATTAGACCAAAAAAGTTTTTTGTTGTTTTTGTAAAACACTACATCACTTCAAAAAAGGAGAACAAAAAGCTGCTACAAAAGTATGATTCATAACTCCCTTTATTTGCAACCAGCTGCATAATTTTTTTTATTTTTTTTGTGTTTTTTTAGTGAGAAAGTCTAGATGTCTAGCATACTGTACAGTGTTGCTCGTAACTGTTTTTCTTTTCCAACCAAACTAACAAATGATCCTTCATTTCTTCATCGTTGTGGTTCATTTAAATAATCCTCAACAAACAGGAGCATTTTGTAACCAAAGGAGAAAAAAAAAAAGCATGTAGAAGCATACCAGAGTGTAACATACTTTGTTTGAAATCACTCCAAAAGTCAGTACCATTAAAGCCTTGAACATAAAACTAATCATTTAGATCCAAAAAAATGTACAAAAAGGCACATTATATCCCAGTGCTTCTGTACTGTGAAATTCAAGTGTAACTGAGCGCATTCAATACCAACAATCTGAATGGTGACAGTCCACCAGTGTTCCCTCCCACTTCCTCCGTAACTGGACCACAGTCTATGCCTAAGCTTTCAACAAGCATATGTATGCGTAGACTACAACAATAAGCCTAGGTTGGTTGTTTTTTGAAAAAAATTCTGAATCAATGTTTATTTTTTTGTTTATTTTCTGTCATGGTTCTACCTTTCTCTCTCTCAGGGAATATCAGCTGTCCATGTCCATCAACAGGAAATCTTTCCTTTTCTTCATTTTTTTTCTCTCTCATCTTTATATCCTTCAGGGCGTGACTGTGTGTCCTAGTCGTCACTTCCACCGTACATGTCTGCCAGTTTTCTAAAGCGAGGGCCCCAGTCGTTGAGGTAATCGTAGTCCTGGTCGCCCCCGCTGCTGGAGGAGTTGAGGGAGCTTAGGGAGCCAGCTGTGGAGCCGCTGCCCTCGTAGTCGAACACTAGCAGGGAGTCGTAGGGAGGAGCGGTGGGGTCATTGTCTGCTGCCTTGAGTCCCTGTACAAAAAAAAACGTTAGATGAGAAGATTAAACACCGTCTCCAACGAGGAGTGAGTCACGTAAAAATAACTCTCTCCCACCCACTACCGCACACAAACGGCTGTACTAAAAACAGTCGGTCGCTCCCTCCGCACTTGCTCAGGAAATAAGGATTAATCAGGCTCTACTGTTCCTGTGTGTTTCCTCTGTGTTGTTTCATTGGGATTCTCCTGATGTTTCTAGGCTGCTGGCTTGATCGAAAGCCAAGATTGAGCATGACCAGTAGCCTCAGATGACAGTTCCATCTCCCCTTCCCCCAACTAACACTCCTCTGACTTTGTACAGGGAGCACGACTCTGGCACCGACACATGGTCGTCTATCATCAGATCAAAATATTTGTAACATTTTATATCTGAATGTGGCCTAAACACTACGCCTAACTGTGGCAACCAGCGAGAACGTGTCTCTGTGTGTTATCGTGAAGCCCGCAGTGCTGGTGGGAGCGGTTCTACTTTCAAGATCATGTTTGACATTCCAAGAAATCCTCACACCGGTGTGAAAAGTCCTCATGGATTGTTATTGATTTCCAGCCTCCTTCCTTAACGGGACTTGGGAGAGTTGATGGATTGCCAATCTAGGAGTTGAGATGCGCTTTGGCCATGAACCATGTGGATCCAGGCTTCGTTTCTCCCTTTTACCCCCCGGAACTGAGGACACCCAACAAATAATAAATGAATTAAAAATAAAGTGGAGCAACATAACGCAGAGAAACGAGACCTCAGCTCGCTGGGAACTTGTCGAAGATTTATAGTTTCCTCCGCACTGCCATTACAGTGCTGAAATGCTCTCAAATAAAAAGATGTACTGAATTAAAGTGCCCGGGCACTTAGCGATTATTTTCCACTTGTTAGCTTTTTGTTAAGTATTTGCTCAGGGCTGTGGTGCTGATAATTTTGTGGGAAATATGACAGATGGATCGTTCATTACAATTACAACCATAATCGCTCTGCTGGTTATAGCCCCCTCCATCTACAACCACAACCCCACTGGCAGTTTCATAAGGTTAGTCAATCACGGAACTCACTGTAATTTCATTGTTAACTGAGTCATACACCGCACCGAAGATAATAACCACTCTTAGTAAAATGGTGAACTCGCTGTCTCTTTTTTGTGCCACGGTTAACAAAGAGATGTGCAATCAATCCACTGTAATCTCTAGGCACACCTAACCCCGCCAGGCTCTATGTAAAACAATGAATGCAATCATTTAAGGTTTGCGTCCCTCTGTGGAGAAACGTCCCACCTGTGGACAACAAAGGTCATTTGAAGTTGGTGCTATTGTATTTAAACTACCCCCTCCCCCTCTGTCAGAACAAAGCAGGAGTTCAGTAATAGACCTTTGTTTGTCAGATTGTCAAGTTAAAGTCCTTCTGCTAAACCTATTCCTATTTTTTGTCCATCTAATTTAATTAGGAGACACAAGCTCCTGGGGCATGTGGAGACCATTCAGGATGGAGATCAGACACACTCCCCCTCCCCAGCCCTCGCTGTCTCCCTGCTTCTCTGGCAGATAGCCCTATCAGTTAGGTCGGATTCCAGCTCCATGTGCACGCTGAAGCTACCATGACTGAGCTTTAGTGGCAGTCAAATTTGGAACTAAAAACAGGTCAGGGTGCTCGGAAATGTCTCAAAGGCCTTGCAAGCACTATAAAATGATATGTTTAAAAAAAAGCTAAAGAAAAAAATAAGTGATCAAGAATGGTTTAAACTGTCAGGCTGCTACTCGCGGGACAGCACAGACTATTACATTTCATCACATATTAGCTGTTACGACAAGTAACATGGCTCACGGTGAGATTAAAATAAGAGGTGCCTGAGTAAAGGGATCTGAGAGATAGATGTTCGGGGGCAGAGCAGAGAGAGCTAGCTCTAATCTAAAAACATGGGCACCATCCAAAAACTAGGGGAGAACTCCATTTGTAATGCTGTGAAACTCTTGTCTGTTGGAGCTTGTGAAAAATATATGACTGCTCTTTTCATTTTACATTCTCCCTTCATGCTGGAGTCAATGATGGCCTGAGGCAAACGAGGGCACGCCGAACAGTTCACTGCGATAGAAAGCCAATGTATTGCTTCTCTCATCTCCTATTTCTATGCTGACACATCTATAACTCTACTTTGGCAGAAAGTGAGGAGAAAAACAATTATATCCAAGTGAGTTAGCATCATGTACTTTTTGGGCTTTATGCATGTTTGAGTGGATATTTCTGAAATGAAAAAAGTTTCAACTTTCTGCTGGGAAAAGATGAAAACAATTCTCATAACGACTGATTCAATTGAAAGTACTTCTCTGTCAACTACAAGGGAGCGAGCAACTCCTTGATGCTCAGTCATATGAGCCAAATTGTTTATTTAGACACAAGTTTATTATAAGAAAACCAATCAGCTTGGAAATGAAATTCAAGCTTTGCGAGACCTCTGATCCTTTTATTTCAGCTCTTATCCTTGGATTTGATTTTCACCTCACCGCAAAACAATGTCAGATTTCAACAACATTACTGGCTGATGTTTTTACCTCATTGATGAAGTCTCCGATGTCTCCGGGGTGGGGTGCTGCCGACCTCATTGGGTACTGTGGCTCAGGGTGGAGGGGCCTCTCGTCTAGACGGCGGATTCCCACCGGCTTGATGGCATCGGGCTCTATCGTGTCCGGCTGCTGGAGCTGACTCAGGTCATAATCCTGGGGAACACAGACAGAAGGGACTTAGCTAAGCACCGTGGCAAGACCCCAAACTGAGTATGATTATTTAAATAGGTAAGCACATCCTGTGCTGTAAGTAGGAAGAAGGAGTTCAGCTCAGTGGAGGGGAGATTTTAAAGTTAGAATCCAGCGAGAAGAGTTGAGGGAACACGAGGGAAACTTTAATCTTCTTGTCTGTGAAGTACAAGCCCAGGGACAATTTGACACATAAAAAAGCGCCAGCGCTGAGGGGGGGCCAAGCTGAGGACCACATCATACGCTGCAGAGTGTTTGTACTTGGGCGGTGTGCTGCAGGAAGGATGTGCAGGCGACTGTTTTGCTCTAATCAATGCCCAGACACGGGATGGTGGATATGCATAAGCCATTCCTAATCCTATTAACATTACCAAGGCAACCTGAATGGCTCGCAGTTTGCGCAAAGTCATGGGCAAGGAAGAAGGAGGAAAAAAAGGGTGAAGAGAAAAAAGGAGTTAAGAGCGAGAAAGAGGCTGTGGTGAAGAACAACCCAGCTGAGCTGAATGACTGAATGGTATCAGGGTGACAGCAGATATGATAGAGAAAATGCCATTTGAGAATCAGAGTGTGTGCCTAATAAGCGTGCATGATGGATTGTCTCTCTTTAAGAGATTTTCGTAATCCATCCATCTCTAATATGCCCCTTCAAAATTGTCTTTGCTCAGTTGCACACGTACCTACACACAGACACTCGAAAGAGTGGAAAAAACGTGCAGATATTCTTGAAACAATTTTACAACAAATCCTCAAATGAAGCACCAACATCCTGAATAGAAAAAACACAACCAAGCAAGAAGTCCGTTTACAAGTACTTTACTCCAGACATTTTTTTGCTATTTGATTTAATACCCAATAACAAAAGCTCTGTTGGTGAATGGGGTATAATAACAGTCACATGCCACACGAAAAAGGTATCCATCATCTTTGGCTCATTTCAGTCCAACTCCCATTTCACCTTGTCTAAGGTCGTGCTCCAGAAGGGTCAGGAACAAGTGACAGGAATTGCAATGGAGCCATATAATGGCTTAACTATGCAGGAAGGTCTAATGATATACCAGCCCCCTTCAGGGATCAGACTCTTCACACATACGCTGGCCTGATGAAATATTTGCCACCGGCGTTCATGACCCACATTCAAAGAAGACTAAACATTGTTAAGCATTATACACCATATATATATATATATATGCAAGGTGCCTGTTAGAGGATTATTTTGTCATTCTGTTTTACTGTGATACGTTTGGTCGACAGATTACTACCATTCTCATGTCCTTGCAATTATAAGCTTATCATTAGCTCAGCATAAAGACTAGAAATAGGTCTGCTTGTTAGCAGTTCCCCATCTTCGCTGAGGTTACTTCTTACTGTGCAGATCTGAGCATAGTTTTCCTTTTCTTATATACAGCAATATTAATAAAACAAGAGTAAAAAAAAAGAAATCCAAAAATTTTAAACTATTTGAAAGCTGTAGATGTAGTTCAGTAATTATTTTCTTTTGCTCAGGGTTATGAAAAATTTAAATAATGACCAAAGGTGCAAAAAAGCAAGCGCTATTTTCTAATAAATTTGGAGTTCTCCTTGAAGTTAAGTCATAGTTCCTCTGATGTGCAGAATGTCTTCTTATCTGTGTAACAGGTGGTTAATTTGTTTCATTTATTGAAAAATAAATCAAAACCTTTCAGGTTTTTCCAAAGCATGCCTTCAAAGCCACACTGGGTTAGGTTAAGGTGAAGGAAATTTTCCTGAGGTCACTTATGGAAGCAGATGGCTCTTTCTCTCCCATTTTTTTTAACTTGCAAACCTGTCCGCAACTGCTTGTCCATCTGTCATTATTTCCTTATTATTACTTTTTTCAATGTGTGCTGAGTGGGTGCCTGATCAGCTGTCTGCCTTTGATGAAATGCGTACTTCACAGAGCAATACAAAACCAGGGCAATGGCAGCAACAACTAAAATCATATACTCTGAGCGCACCCAATGGTCTGACACTTCAATTTCCTCCCCAGCGGGAGATAGGGAGAACAGAGGTGGGCATTATAAAGTCCACGTTGCTGGGAAAGTCAGGTCTATTTTTTACCCAACACTGACTTCGCCGATTCCACAGACAAGACCATTTTCTCCTGGCTCCCTGCCCTTCTCAGCACCACTCAAAATGGAAGCTTGTTTTCCCTCAATAAATTGCTGCACCCGCTCGTTTGCCTTTGAAGGGTGTTATATCATGTGGCTGTTTCCTTTTCAACATGTTTTGGGCCGCAAGTTTGTGCATTTTGTGCTGGAAAGTGAGGACGCGAATACACAAGTGGTTCAGTCCCTCCTGTCTAATCACTGGCAGATGTGTAATGGCTTTCCAGTCGTATTGTTACCTTAGACAGGGCTTCATTATTGTGCCACAGCAGATGTCTGTCTCTAAATGACATCAGCTTACCAATTACAAGTCTCCCAGGCTAATTTGCTCCTGCTCTGGGTCAGGCTGGGGTCTCCCGCACATTTCTGCTATATCTAAGCCACCAAAGCACTTCAGCAAGCAGCAAGAAAATAGCCCATTTGGTATATTACTGCCTTTTTTTTATGAAATGATTCCATTTTGCTAACAAGGGGTTATTAGGACAATTGAATTTGTGCCTGTGTGTGAGCCTGATCAGTGCGGGATGATACAGAGATGTGACTCTCCCGATGCCTGTGGCAATGCATGTCTGTTGTGTTGGTGTTGCGACGCGGAGAGCAGTTCCAGTTGAGAGACATTCCCAATATTTCTGGAACCAATTGGATCAAAATGTGTTTGCCTTATTGATTCGAGCTTTCGATTTCCAGCTCCCTCCTAGAAAAAAAACTTCCAATTTACGTCTTACAATTCATTGTGAATTGCTGAAGTGTATCCTAAAGCGGCACAATGAGCAGACCTCATGCTAGAATGAAGCATTGTAAGTCTATGCATGCTTGCAAAAGAATCTAGGTGGTCCTCTATGTCCTCTGTAGCTTCAGCTATGCAGAAATTGCTTCCGTGCTGCATAAATATGACCTGAATATTCCACACCAACAAAGACCACACACTGTACAGCTAGATGATGTGTATAGCATGGCATTTCTCTGCAGTGTGAATAGACTCCTAAGCTGCAATAACACAAAGGTTCTCCACAAAACAAGAAAAGAAAGAAAAAGAACAAAAAGTTGTTTGGATAAACATATAAACATGTTACAATGCAAAAAGAATTTTAGAAATCTGAGCATTATTGTCATTATTATTAACTTAAAAATGTGCTGTTGTGGAATTTTGATACTTTTTGGATACATCAAAGAATTACAGTTATTTAGGACCATTAAAATCTGGTTTATTAACTGCCCCTGAGATGTTTTCTTGTTTCATATCTCCTTATACTAAACTATGCTGACACAGTCCAAATAACCCCCCCCCCCCCCCCCCAAAAAAAAAAAAAAACCCAGAAACTTTGAATTTGTAAAGTATTTCTCTGTTACTTTCTTTATTAATGCCTAATTGATATAGACATCAAAACATAAAGTAATGTGCAAAAATCAAAAACAGAGCCTCTATAATTATAACCAACTTGAAAGTCGATATATGGTACAATCACCTTTACTCTTTGACACACCTGAACTCTCCCTGGCAAGCTTTCCTAAGCAGTCTTCAGGAATAGTTCTCCAGGCTTCTTGAAGGACACTCAAAGCTGATTGACGGTGGTCTATCATGTGTTTTTCTATTCAGGTATACTTTTATTTGGGGTCTTTGTCATGCTGAAACATTTCCATGTTGCAATTAAATGCTTTGCAGATGATACTACATGGTAGATAAAATCTGATTGTGCTTTGCTGCGTTCATAATTCCATGAAGTTTGACAGTGAGAGCAGACCCAAACCATGACAGAGCCTCCACCGTGTTTTACAGTTGGCTGTAGACTCTCGTGCCATACTTCTCTCCTGATCTTCTCTGAACATACTGACAACAATTTGAACTAAAGATTTCACACCATAAGACTTTCTGTTAATTTTGATTATAGTACTTGTGTAAGTTTGCATCACTCAGCCTTTGTTTGCCTGATGGATACGGATTGTTTTTTAGGCGAACTACTTCAGTTTCCTCAGTTCTTTTTAGGGCACAGTGCACATCGTGGCGAAATATGCCAAGTTTTTGGACACTAGCTCTTTGGGAATGACTTTCTTGGTGCAAAAAATACTTTGTTAAATACCTGTGTTGTCTGTGGTATTTTCAGTAGATTCAACTAAATTGGGGTGAGGGTGTTTGCTAGTAACTAATACAAGGCATAAAATGAAAATTCATCAATTATCAATTAAGTTAAACAAAAAAATCTCTGAAAATAATCAGGTACAAGGACTGGACTGAAAATGAGTGAAAAAAGCAGCAATTATCCATAAAAACATTTGCTGCTTTGAAAGATCCTTTAGAAATCCAGGAAAACTATTGCTCAGAAACATTTTAAAAACAAGAACGTCTGGCTCCTTGTAAACAAAATATAAAGAAATGTGGGGTAGCTCAAGGCTTGCGCACAGTACTCTATGATTCATTTATTATTTATTATTAATTTAACTTTTCAATTCAGCACAGTTTGGGTTTTATATCGTTTGTTTGGGGCTGAATAAAAAAGCAGACACTGCCACAAATGTCATCAGATTCTCTTAAAATCATTTAAATCCTGGTACAATTCACAATCAGTAATTAACATCTGTTGTTACCTATTCTATTGAGAACAGCAGATTTTCTGATTCTTTAGAGGCGCACCCAAACTGTTATGATTCTTACCTGATCCTCTTCTCCTCCACCTTCTTCATCATACTTCAGGATGTTGTCTCTCACGTCATCCTCAGGATCGATAAGGAGCTGCTTAGCCTGACGTTCTTTATCACGACGCTTCATCCACACCACAAACATCAGCACGAGAACTAATAGGCAGAAAGAAAAGCAGCTCTCATACAATGAAAAATAATAACCTGCATATTTTCATTCAAATGTAATCGGATCCAGTGTTTTAGAGCTTGGACGTGGGCCTGATCGAGGCTATCTTTTTGTTAATCCTGCGGTAATCTAGTGATATCTCGGATAATGTTTAGCTGTCTTTATAATCCCTGTGTGCGTTCCCGTGGTGTGCTGTTTGAGAGAGCCACTGAGACACTCACTGAGGAGGATGATGATGCAGAGCAGAATGGAGATGATGGCGCCTGTGCCTAGGCCGGCAGCCATGATGTGCTGCTGGTCAGTGCAGTCTCCGTTGATGTCGCACTGGCACACTTTAATCCGCAGGTAGGAGGTGTTAGACATGGGCAGGTTGCCTGAGTCCGTGATTATGATGGGGATCTCATAGATACCACTTTCAAGGAAGCCAATCTTCAGGCTCACCTGAGCATAGTCACCTGAGAGACGGACAGGAGAAAAGAGCTGTCTTAGCACCTTGTTAGAGGAAACACATTTCGAGTGGTGAGTCTAAAGATTAAATAACTCAGGCTGTTTAAATATAAAAGAGACAGGAAGCCTTTCATAGGGGATTAAGTCTAAACTCTGAATGCTTGTTTGTGTAGACTATGTTCGCAGCGTGATTACACTCCTATTACCACAAATATGCAACATAAATTCCTACCTGGAAGTTGCATCAGCATATCTAATCCAAAACATGGTCCTGATTTGGATTTGGAGCTTATAAATCTACTGAATGCGTTTTGATAATGCTGCTTAGGCTAAATTCCCAGCTGCGATAATCCAAATGCCATTATCCTATTAAGATATATTCACTGCGTTTCAACTCGCACCATCTAGTAGCTAACAAACAACAGATGAGTTCCTACACTCGTGTTTTGTTGTAAATTAGCATAAACAATTAGTGACTGCTGAGTAAGGTTAATATATTGTTTCATTGTCAGATCTGGCTGTGTGATTTCTACAGCGTGTAACTAATACACAAATTTCACATGTGCTTTGGAGGATAACAGATGTGAATGCTATAAATACTGTATGATTTGAGACTTTGGAGTTTTCTAATTAATCATCAAATGCCACTTTTTACTTTTCTTTTACATCAACAAACACAAACGTGGGCACGCAAGTGCAAAACAGCCGAATTGCCTTCTGTCACACGCTATCTGGGGAACAGCAAAACGAAGGTTAGTTTTACTAAATTAGCCCAGGGCTCGAGCGCCTGAGCAGCACGGTGAAATCATAGTCTGTATCTTACCGCTGATTCTTGTTATGGTCCAGTTTCTCCGAACATCAGCGGGCCTGTTGGCTAACTCAAAGGCGAATGGCCCAGCATTTGGGCTCAGGTCTCCATCAAATGCAGTGATGTTGATGGCATTCGGGTCTGGCTTTTCACATATTTCCACCTCCTGAGGGGACACCCGGGGAGCATTGTCATTGATATCCAGTAGGAAGATTTGGAGAGTTCCTGTGCCACTTGCTGGCGGTATACCTGTGTAAAATAAAAAACACACATATAGTTAACATCAACTTTTTACGAGACGTAAGATTTCCCAAAATTCACATATGGAAAGCAATACTTGCTATTGAAATGCCATCTCTCATTTCGCAGTTATTATACAGTGGACATAGAGAAGTAAAGCATGAAGTTTAAACTTTGGGTTCCACTCTAAAAAGCTTTTTGCTCTAGTGGAGGAAGATCCGCACAAAATGAATACTGATCTGAGAATTTAATCTTATGTGGGGAGATGGGCCGAAAGACTTGGATATCAGAACATTAAGTGTGTGTGTGTGTGTGTGTGTGTCTCTGAGTGTGTATGTTTGTATGTGTGTCTGAAGAACGTCTTCCTGACGAAGGGCACGGGTCGGGAATACTAAAGCAGACAAACAGAGCCCACTGTCGCTCCTCTCAGGCTCCTCTATGTATTCACTCAGCTAAGAGGCTTTTTTACCATTCAGGCCACGCTCAAAGGAGCTAGTCATCCAATCCTGACCCATTAATGCTGAGAAACCTCTTTATTGGTGGAGTTTTTAAGCCTATTGGCCTAAGCTATGCTCCGTAGAACAGGGTAAACCTGAACAGAGGTAAATCCCGCCAGTTCAGAGACGAGGTGAATACATCCACATGCTCTGGGATTGCTAGCACATTAACCCCCCAATAAGGTGCTCGGCGTTTCAGATGTGCCAAGTGCCTGGTTTAAGGTTGACCTTCGAGAATTGAGAATGTCTTTGTGGCTTTAACCGAGATAGATTTTTTTTTTCAGCAGATGCGTTGCACTTGTGCACTGGCTTCAGGTGAAACACATCACAGAGGTAGTCAAAGTGATGCAAGGTGGAAGATAGACCTTTGAGAGGTAGGCTACACTAGACAGCTAGGCTTCCTTTAGAGAAGTGAGTATTAGCTCTTACTGCATCCATCTAGATAGATACGTACCATTGTCAGTAGCCAGGAATGTTGCATTGTACAGATTGTTCTTCACGTAAGGTGATTCTCGGTCCAAAATGGCAATCGTTGTGATCCGGCCGGTGTTTGTGTCGATCCTTAACCAGTTGGCTGGATCTGAGAGTTTGGAGTACCTGAAGAGAAATACAAAGAGATTCACACAGTGACTCGTTATTTCAAGCCAGGCGTTATTTACCGAGTTCTCTGATAAAAGCATCGAGAATGTCTCAAAGGTTTAATTTTGTATTCTGCTGGGAAAAAAAAGTCTGTTTCCAGCTTGGCATTTTATTCTTTTTGTCTTTATTAGTTTACACGGAATAAATATTTTAGACCATGAATTTTTACATAATTATTCTAACTTTGGAGAGCAGCCTCACGGGGGAAACCAAACTCAGTAGCTCAAACTAATTTGTAGGACAAGCCGTGGAATTACAAAGCTAGCTCATTTCTCATGGACTGTTTTCAAGCAGATAAATACTTCCACTGCCAAATAGCTGTGATGAAAAGGAAAAAAATAAGGCTGAAGAATGAGATAGAGACTGCTGCTGGCTGCTAAGTGTTATCTTAACAGGCCTAATGGAGAGAATAGCTGTCACCTTAACCTACCATATTACTCCATATTTTTCACATGCTCAATAGCATTATTCATATTAGAAGCTGGATGTGATGTACTTGAAAAGGGGGAGAACACATTCGAGGAAATTGGGCTAACTTTAAAGATTAGAGGAATTCTTCCAAATTTCCACATCTGAAAGGTGGACTCGAATCTTTTGAAGAGGTGTAAAGTTTCAATCAGACTCTCCTTTTTACTTTTTACTGTAAAATGTACCTGATGGTTTGCTGCATGAAGCGATCAGGATCCTGTGCACTGAAAGTGGTCAGTGTTGACTGTGGCATCATTCCCTCTTCAAGCCTAACGAATTTGGGGTTGGGCTCAAAGTAAGGACTCTCATTGACATCTATCACTCTGATGGAGACGGTGGCAGTGGACTGTCGGGGAGTGTGGATGCCTTTGGCCAGGGGAACTTCATTCCTCGCTTCCACTGTCAGCACATACGTCCTGCTGGTTTCATAATCAATAGGCTGAAAAACAGTAAAGGAGATTGGAGTGAATCACACCTTAAACATATAGGGTAAACTAAATCACATGAAAGTTGTGGTTATGTGTCACTGATCTGAAAGCAATAACTAAATCCTTTTCTTCGTCTTTGCCTGAAAAATGCTATAGTGAACACTTGCATTGGACAGTGGGACGAGATAAAGAGACTAAATCCTTTTATGGTCAGCTCAAGGATACAAAACAGCAGGAGAGCTGGTGTAAGAGATGCGCAACCAATCTTTTCCATTTGAAATGTGGTCGGAATTAATAAAAAAAAGGATTTTAATCTTTTATTATTATATTTTAAAATTTTGATTTTGCACAATATTTGTTAGGAACAAAGCTTTTACAAAATATGAATTGCTGTCACTAAATTAACCTTTGTAAAAAAAAAAAATCAAAGACAAAATCCGAGAGGTGCTGCAATTTATCAGTACTCGTCTACAGATGCTTTACACAAAATTCTTTTTCTACTTTCAGATAATTAATCAGGGCGGATTGCTAATGGGTTTTTACAGACAAGAGGTGAGATGACATATGAGGCAACTTTCCTTCTATTAAATCCATGCATCTCCTAATCAAATAAACATGCCACATGTTTTTCATGCCAGACCACATGTCATGTATCATTGCAAACATATACTATGCGTTTCCATTGGATTACAGGCTGTTTGAAGAGCTTTTTCAATAGGAGGCTTTACCTTGACGACTGTTACCAAGCCCTCATTAGTGGTTGGATCAGTGGGCACGGAGAACCTGCCGGTGGGGTCGCCCCCGGTGATTTTGTAGACAGCATTCCAGGCCGGCGTGTTGGGCTGGTCCTTGTCAGTCACTGTCAGGTTAGCCACAATGACATTCACGCGGTTTTCAGGCACCTCGCCGAAAAACTGCATGAATAAACCATGAACATAGAGAGCAGCGAGCTGTTAGTGATACTGCTGTGGCAGCGAAAAATACACTGAGCCTTGTCTCACACGGCACAGCAGGACCGATCTTGGGTAAATAGATATCTAAGGTAACTTATCATGTCGTCATGGTCATCTCATTCCCCGTGCTCCCCCGATAGCACAACAGTAGCATTACAAATTTCAGTGATTCGCAGGCACAGCAAGTGCCTCTTTCACTCGGGCAGGCATCCCCTGTACTTGCATGTGTCAACATTTGGAGGGGGATATAACACTTTACGCATGGCTGGTAACTTGTATATCTGTGTATGGCTTCAGAAATGCAGGGCAAGCAGAACTAGGTAAGTGAGCAGAACCGATAGCTGAGTGCATATATCTACATTGGGGTGAAACAGGAGTCCTTGTGGTGCCTCTTTTACGCTAAGATTGCTGTGCTGACATCTCCGATATGAGCTTGTTTCTTACCGTCTCAGCAGTAAACTCTGGTGGGTTGTCGTTAATGTCAGTGACTCTGATGACAGCCGTGGCCGTGTTAGAGAGGCCATACATGGGATTGCCCTCCATGTCACTGGCCTGGATTATCAGTGTGTACTGTGGCACTTTCTAAAGGGAAAGAAAAAAAGAGGCTGAATTAGCATCACTCCCAATGGCATCATCAAAAAATCTCCATTTGAAGCTTCATAAAAACAGGATCCATTCTTAAGACTATTGAATTGATTGAGACTCCCTATTAAGAAGGCAGCACACTGTAAATCAGTATTAATGTGTCCAAATAAAGTGAAACCAAACTGAACAGGCTAGCTTCATAATTATCGTGACTGATGGTGGGTTTTTTATATTAATCTGGTTTATTTCCTGTGAGGTACTCTGAATTTGTTTGTGTGTCTCTGTGTGCGCGTGCGAAAAGTACATCTCTGCTCTGGACAGTATCATGAAGCTAACAAATGACTCTTTTCACATTAAAAACCACTCAGGTGATGGACCAGTTGCTAGGTAATGAGAGTCGGCCAAATTACTTTCATGGTGGCAACTGGCGGACATAAAATGGTGGCCCCCAGGGCGGAAGTGATTGAGCAGCCACCTCAGCCAGATTGCCCTCACTAGAATTGAACCAACTGGCAACTAGCTGTATATATTACTTTATTTATTATGAGATAGATCCCTGCAATTCCAGAGATGGAAAAATAAGATGAAAGTACAGCTCGTAGGCTAGAAAAAAGACAGAAGAAAAAAACAAAGAAAAGAAAAACACAGAGAAGGTGAAAATGAAGAAAGTCCAGTTCTACTTCTCTTTTAATTCTAAATAAGAAATATTCCCGTTGGCTTGTTAGCTCTCAGACAGCCTTGATATATGTTTAAGCAGCTTTGGCATTCCTTTAAAAAGGAATCGAAACATAAACCTCAAATGCACTGATATATCTCCAGAGTAAGAAGATGAAGAACATGGAATATAACGGATGGCCTTGCTAATGAAGGTGTCACTTAAATGCAGGTGCAGTATGCCTATTAAATCAACCTTCTTAAACACTATTTTTACAGTCAGAGTAAGGTAGTAACAGTATTTGAGCAGATTAAACAAGCACCAAGGAAAGAAAAGTGTCAAATACCTCTCTGTCCAGGCCTGCTGCCACTGTAATGATGCCTCCGGTTTTGTTGTTGATGGTGAACATATTGGAGGTTGGACTCTCGGGATTCTGAGACAAGATCTTGTAACGTAGCATCCCATTGGCTGTTTTGGGGTCATCTTTGTCAACAGCCGTCACTGTCATAACAAATGATCCTAAGGGATAGAAAGAACGAGACAGGGTGTCGATATTTTCACGTCACCGCTCTAATTGGCAATCAAAATACATTAGAAGTTCAGCGAACGCCGCTACGCTGAACACAACTGGAATTATAGCTCTGCTGTAATACATCCTTAATGCTTTTGTTTTCTTATAATACAGCTGATCGCTAGACAAAGTGATAACACAGTGGCCACCCCAGAAATGCCATCAATACTCTTTAATCTGCAAACACAGTGGTAGAGAATACACTTTATTACCTGGCTTGGAACCCTCTGGAACGGTGCCATTCCAGATCTGATGGGTGAACTCGGGTCTGTTGTCATTCATGTCGATCACATTGATCACAATATCAATAGGGTTTTCAACTTGGTTTCCATTCAGGTCTACTGCATGAGCTCTTAGCTGGAGGAAAATACAAACACATCTGTACTATAAGCACTGTTCAAGTAAAGGATGTTCTCATACACATAAACAACATATGGGCTTAAACCACAAAGCACTTACTCAGTCTCACCTATCAAACTTTGTGTTAAAGCCATTACAAGAATTAGTCTTATACCAACTTGTGTGCGGGTTACTGCTCATATACAGTGCCTTGAAAAAGTATTTGGAGTACTTTTCCACTTTTTGCCACGTTACAACAACATATTTTAACAGAGATTATATGTGATAGCCACATAAAGTGTGGCGTGCATTTGTTTTCAGCCTCCTTTACTTGGATAGTCCACCTATGTGTACTTTAACTTCATTATAAATACAGCTGTTCTGTGAAGGCTTCAGAGGTTTGCTAATTCAAATGTATTTATATAGGTCCAAAACAAACATCATGTGCCTCAAAGTGCTTTATCTTTTAAGGTAAAGACCCAACAATAATACAGAGACAACCTTAAAATAACCTCCTATGAGCAAACACTTGGCAACAGTGGGAAGGAAAAACTCTCTTTTACAGGAAGCAGGATCAGAGAACAATCTGCAAAAGACCAAGCCCTGTTACAGTATAACTAAGGAAGGATTCGGGGTCACCTGATCCGGGCATAACTATAAGCCTTATCTAGAAGGAAAGTTTAAGTCTAATCCTAAAAGTAGAGAGGGTGTCTTTCTATCGAATCCAAACTGGGAGCTGGTTCCACAGAAGAGGGGCCAGAGAGCCTCAGAGAGCATTAGTGAACAAAAAACCCCATCATGAAAACCAGGAAACATACCAGACATGTCAGCGATAAAGTTGTGGAGAAGTTTAAAGCAGGGTTGTATTATGAAAACATATTTCGGGTTTTCAGTATCTCACAGACCACTTTTCAATCCATCATCTGAAAAAAACTATGAAACATTGTGGTGGCAACATCATCATGTTGTGGGGAAGTTGGCGAGACATCACGGGAAAGTGGATGGAGCTAAATACTGGGCAATCCTGGAAGGAAACCTGTTTGAGGCTGCAACATTCTTGAGACCTTCCAACAGCGACAACGACCCTAAACATACAGCCAGAGCTACAATGAAATGGATTAGGTCCAAGCCTATTCATGCATTAGAATGGCCCATTTGAAGTCCAGACCTAAATCCTATTGAGAATCTGTGGAAAGACTTTAATATTGGTGTTCACAGACACTCAATCCGACTGAGCTAGAGCTATTTTGCAAAGAAGAATGGGCAGAAATTGCAGTCTGTCGATGTGCAAAGCTAGTAGACACAAACCCCGAAAGACTTGCAACTGTAATTGCAGCAAAAGGTTCAAAAAAGTACTGACACAAGTGAGCTGAATACAAACGCACGGGACACTTTTCAGATGTTTCTTTATAAAAAAGATGCATATTTTTCTTCTACTTTACAATTATACCCTTCTTTGTGTCGGTCTATCACATAAAATCCCAATAAAATTCATTTATGTTTGTTGCTGTAACATAACAAAACATGGAGAAATTCAAAGAGTATGAATACTTTTTCAACGCGCTGTAAAGACAGCTATGCATGTATAGCAAAAGATAAAGGACGACTATATTTATTCAAATGAAATGCCACAGCTGTTTCATGGATGTCTCTCGAGACAAATACATTCTGGTTTAACTCATATCATATTTACCATATTCATCATTTATCATAGTTATACCGCTGCCTAACATGGAAGCCCATTTGTTTTATAAGACTAAATCTGATTCACTGCATCTTTTTGCCGTTCAAGTCCATTTTGTCCAACATAATGTATGCTTCATGCCTAACATGGGATTTAAATTCACTCATACATGAGTTGTCATACTTTTATAGCGTAAAAGTATAAAAACAAATTATAAATTCAGAGTTATATCTGTGGCAGATGCAAGCTCTCTAAGCAGATTGACAGATACTACTTCTTAACTCACTGTGATAATTCCCATCAAATGAATGAAGATAAAGTTCACCAACTTGTAATGAAGAAACTCACACGGGTAGAAATGGTATATAAAATGAAGCCAAATCAACTTAACTGACACATTATTACAACAGAGCTCTACACACATACACGCACACTGACACTACAAAGGAGAGGATAACTAAAATCTTAATGATTTTGTCGGTTTTCTTTCAGGTGATGTGATGTATCGAGTGCAGCAGCAGAATAGCATCATCTATTATACTAGTCTTTTACCACAAGTTGCTGTGTGATTCTTATACCTGGTGCTTGAATTGCAAAATATTCAGTGGACTTCATGTTACAGTGTCAAGTGCAGACAGCAACATTAATAGAGGAAATTGCAAAAACTACAAAAGAATTACGGACACATAGCTTAAATTGAACAAGCATAGACATCTGTGACTTTGTGACCTTCCAAGGCCAGTTGATTAGACTTTACAAGACGAATATGTCAAAGGCTATAATTTCATTTAAACTACAACCTTTATGATTTTCTACCATATTGCTTTCAAGCACATTATTTAAGTCAAACTTAATGGAATGGAAAAACCACTAATACAGCAGCATCGCAGCTCATTGTGATATATCTAACACACATGCAATTTATTCAAAATCCTTGAAATTCTCAGACGGATAAGTCAGATTTCCTGGGAGACCCCCAGTCTTTATGGAATCTGAGATTGTTAAGGCTACACATGACTCTTGAGCACATGCCAATTGGCAGGCACGTACAGCACTACCACAGAACATTTCTCTTTATAATCCAGAATGGAAAAAACCTTTTCAAATCACAAGGAATTATTGAAGAGGGCCTTTGTTTCTAACTATTTTACATGACTCACATGGAAGCTGGAGATGTGCTCCCGATCAAGGGGCTTGTTGACAGACAGCTCTCCGGAAATTGGGTCGATGATGAAGATTCCAGTGGGAGGCTGGTCAGCACCAGGGCCTGTCACGCTGTATCGCAGGGATCGGTTTTTATCATGATCTGATCGGATCTGTTGGTATAAAGATTTGTTAATGATAAGGCACACACACACACACACACACACACACACACACACACACACACACACACACACACACACACACATATATATATATATATATATATATGTATGAATGAAACCCACCCAATAATCCCTGAATTGCTAATTATTTCTAGTACTAATCACTGATTTCAACAGCAATCACAATATTGGTTTAAAAATAGGTTGTTATGTGAATACAATAGTACATAAAATGAGTGTCTACATATACACGTATTGAAATTCTCTCTTGGCTGTCTATCCTGCTTGCCATGTAAGCTGAGACCCCAGCTCCTACACTCTTGATCCGTTCTGAGCAAACTGAGCTTTTCCTCTTCCTGATATCACCCACTAAAGCCAATAAACATCCCATCAAATATGGCCGGATTAAAAATAAATCATACTTAGAGAATGTACAGTACTTAACACTCTGTAAGAAAGTAAGCTTAATATGCTGAAAGGATCTACTTCTTAGCTGTCTCAAGCTTTCCGTGTCCTCTGTCAGCCACCCACACCTAGCCCTGACTAGAGAATTGGTGTAAATGAATTGGGTTGTGTCTGTCCTTGAGCCATGAAAAAAGGAGTGTAATATCTCAGCAGTCAACCGAAGAGCAATTATGCTCGTGAGCACTTCAGATTTCTCCCTGCTTCTAAATAATGCCAGGTTATACTGGCACCGACTGCTCCCTGAAACAAAAGATAAATAATACAGTGGGGGGAAAAAAAACCCTAACCTTTAGCAAAGTGCTGTAAATATGAAGCATTTTGTTCAAGGCACAAATCTCCTGTCTCTGACCCTTTGAGTGAAGGCCCAGGGTAAGGACGAGCCTGCAAGGTTGTCATATAAAGCAAAGGGCTTTTTTTGGTTTGTGTGTGTGTGTGTGCGCGCGTGTGTGTGTGCGTGTGTGTGTGCGCGCGCGCGCGCGGACATGCATGTGCTTGTGTGAAGTACATTACCCGGACAAGCTCTTGTGGGAATGGGCCTCGTGAGTTCTCTGGGACATTGATTGGGGGGATGACCCAGTCTCTCTTCATGCGTTTCAGCTGGCTGTCCATGTTTCGTGGTGGAAATGCTATTTCCTTTAAATCCTTGGACATGACTGGAGGGACAGCGCCTTCCTGCACCTGGCAAAAGCAAATGATTTAGTGATCACATGTATGCGGTCAAGTATGAGCACGTACATTTTTAGCCCTGCCAGCGCACGGCTCTGTGGACGGTAAAGCTTGAAGTTTGAATGCCACAGAAGTTTTTCAACAGTCACTTTACATTATGCAGAGACGGTTTGTACAGAGATTCTTGCATTTTAGACTCCTGATGACTTTAGTGACCTGACTCTACCTCAGACACAAGCATCAGGCGGACAACTGTGGTTAGAACAAATGAATTTAATTCAGTTTAGTTTATATAGCAACAAATCACAACAAGACTCACTTCAAGGTGTTTTATATTGTAAGGTAAAGATACTACAATAACACAGAAAAACAACCAGATAACCCATTATGAACAAGCACTTGGCAACAGTGGGAAGGAAAAACTCTATTTTAAGAGGAAGAAACCTCTGGCAGAACCAGGATCTGGGAACTGAAAAGACCAATTAATGCATGCCAGAAAAATGCGGTACGTTCCCTTCAGGATATAAAAAAGAGCAAGTGATTCTTACACTTTTGTCAAGATGTTCCTTTTCAATTACATGTATATATTTTATGGGTTAATAGCATTCATTGGCAAACACTAACATGGTGATTTCAGAATATAAGCATGATAAGGAAACACACTACGAGTTCTGGTTTGCTTTAAATGGCAGACGTCTTCTTATGTCCTGATAAAATACACCCACAGAGATAGAGCAGCTTCCATAATGGATCTGCCATCCTCCCTCGGCTGTAATGAATGAGATTTGAAACAAAGGAGGATGGTACCTGAAAGCCAGACACTAAACACACAGATGGCTCAAATTGCCTATGCTGCTCCAGAGACTGAGGAGACTGAAGTAGTGCCAGAGAAAGTTAAAATAACCTTGAACAAAACAAGGCAGAAAGGAAAACAGAAAAACAATATGCGAAATCCGTCAATGTCAATCTATGATAGCTGGAATTTTAATGGAGCTGCCGTGCCCCTTCAAGTATCTCCCCCACTGTTATTTTTATGTAATTAATTAAATGTTGACCGGTCGTGAGGTAGTCAAGTCCTACAAACTACAAAGTACCCTATGCAAACACAGAAATTAATTACCACTTTCTCACCTTTATAACATGACCCATATCCCACACTCCCCCTCCTCTAACATCTGGGGAGCTGTTGCCGAGCTTCCACTAATCATGTTTGAAATCCGATTATACTGCTTTCACACATTGGAAATGCAGAGAGGCAAGCGGACAGATAGTGAGGGAGCATGCTTCAGAAATATCTATTACCCTATTAAAATGGGTGTGAGTGAGAGCAGTAATTATTTGCAACTTGTGTCTGGAATGATGAATGGCATGGTGGGTTTGTTCTGCCCAACGCAAATCTATCTCTGGTACACTGGAGGTCTGTACCAATCCACACTCCGCGAACCCCTCTTCATCTTCCGACTAGGAGTCTACTTCAGAGTGCAGGAGAGTGTTTGGCTGAGTGATGGCCTGAGTGTTTGTGAGTGTGTGGAAAGGATTTCATATGTGTGTGTTTCCCCTTTTAGGAGAAATTCTTCTTTCAGATACTGAAATGTTTTCTCCTCACGGACTGTGGCGGAGCTCAGGTTCTGATGGAGGTCAAGACAGTGGGCGAGTACACACTCATGTTAATGAGGATATTGTTTTGTTGTCATTGATTAAAATGTTTCCCCAAGGCTGGAGCATTCAGGGCACTAATAAAAAAAAAAATGTAATCACTGATGTGATTAAGAGATGCGTGATGATTCATGACAATAATTGTGCTAGGGGAAGATAACATAGCCGCTCGTGACCTCGTAAACGTGGAAGATACGGGAAAGTCAATCCCTGATTTCATTACAAGCAAATCAGGTCAAATCCAGCAGCTCTCACCAGATACAGATCAGAGTTCAGATACTGATAATAAAGTTAATCATTTGTATACACATGTATCGACCACGTGAGATTCAGATTTAGCAATGCAGAAACTGCGAAAAGTCTATTTTTACCTGATTATTTAAAAAAAAATTATTTACCTGTGACCACCCAACAACAGTGAGTAATGGTATCATTAAAATCACATATACCTGCAGGAGTCCCTATAGTAAATGACTGTCAGTGGCTAACGATGGTGTTTTGAAAAGCCCACTAAGTTTAATTTCGACCAAGCAGACCACTATGCCTGCAGCACTGATAGTAACTACACAGAACTGTCAGTATTAATTCTAGAAACACACACAATAACTATTGACTTTTTATCCGTGTTGCTAAACATTTAAAAATGAATACTTCTGGGAGTTTATTTAAGTCCAGTACTGGAATTGAAATTAAAAGAACATTGGTCTTTTGAAAAGAGTTTTGCTTTTCAGAAAATTCAGAAGAGTCTCCAGAAGGCCAATGAAAGTTTTTACTGACTACTTGATTTTAATGAGTACTTACAACAACATCACTGGCTGAAATACAACCCCAAACCATGACAGAAGCTCCACCAGGTTTCACAGATTCCTTTAGATATTCACCTTCCTCTGTATATACTGTCTGAATTTAAATTCCTTTCTCTATACTACCTGTTACCATTGATTTTCAGTCTGGTTCTTGTGTAATTTTGCATAGCTCAGCCTTTTCTCCCAGTTTCTATTCCTTAAGAGTCTATTCTTGATAGGCACCAATAGGCAAGCAGCTAGATAACCCGAAGGACCCGATGTGTCTCTCAGATACTGTGTCAGATGGATTTTTTTACCATCCTTAAGGGCATGACTTACAGATGCTGTTCATCTGCTGTAGATAGCGTTTAGACCTACTACTGTTACGTTTGTCCTCCACTTGTCCAGAAGGAAAACATCTGGCTCTTTGGGAAAAAAATATGAGGAGTCGCTCAAGTCTTTTATATATTACTGTATATGTCTGCACTGTAAGCAGATATTTCCTAATTGAGTACTTTTTTTTGGAAAATTCCTTTTGATCTCCTCCCAACCACAATGTTGACGTAAGAGCACATGGTCATTCAGACTAATTGCAGATGACTGCACAGCACATCCAGAGGAACAGTTAGAGCGGTACACTACAGCTCAGGCAGATGCTCCCCATCTTCCAAAGCACTAAAAGAGGTGTGGCCCCTTTTGCATGATAAGGCAATAACCTCACAATCACAAGGCATGCTCAGTGAAATCAACTTTATGGGGAGCTATTCGGCATCTGCTCTTGCTACCCACTGACCATGTTGAGTGTATGTTTGTGCTCCTAGTAAATTGACACATTAACTTTTAATTAGCAAGCATCCATCCAGTCTTTCGGAACACCTGCTACAATTTAGGGAAGTAGTCAACTGTGAATGTGAAGTGCACCTAATAAGTGTAAGTTATTTGATGCAAGGGGAGAATTGACCATTCAACCTTTCTTTATGGCACTAAACATCAATCAGACACTCAACAAACAAGTTAAAAATGTTATAAAAAGGGTTGAGGTGTATTCACCTGCTGCCTGGGCACCAGCGTGACTTGGGCCACCCATTGCTGCTGAGTGGCGGCGTCACTCGCCGTGATCAGCAAAGGTGACACAGGGAGTGTGGAGCGCTGAAGAGTCCTGGCAGCATAGAGGACTCCGTTGGCCTCTATCCGAAAGTCAGATGGGTTGCTGCATTCAAACTGCATCAGACCACCACGGCCACAGCTGACAAACCTCACTGCAAGAGACAGAGACAAATAGATTTGAGTTCAAAATTAGTTTAACTGTAAAACCCCAGAAAATAAAGAAGAAAGAGCTAGGGATAGAGACAAAGGAGAAGGAAGACAGGCAGCCAGACAGAAGGTCCACAAAGGTTTTCTGATTCTCCTTCTCATACTCATACATTATTCACTTCAAGCTGTGCCCCAAAGGTATTGCTCAAAACAGGTGCAGCGGAGGAGAAAGATGGAAGGAGGAGGAAAAAATAACTAAAGAAAAAGAGAGGAAGAGTGCCCCTCAAGGGCTATTAATGAAAAGCCCCAAAACCCACAACAATACATTAACAGTGAGATGTATAAATTAGACTAGTCTACATGTTTCCCCGTGTTTAAGAAACTACGAGGCAAGTGCATAAACATGGTTTATTCTGCTAGTTAAATGCTATTTTCTTTCCAGCTAAAGCCATTCCATGCTGCGTTGTCCCCGATGACACACATGGAAGCCTTCTGTGGGGGACTGCAATCCTCGGAAGACAGGTGCGTGTGTTCGTGTGGGCATGTGTGCGAGCGTGTATGAGTATTTATTTTATAGGCGAGTTCACAAAAAACACACCGAGGCGTCAGACAGGTGGACTTTCGAGTCCCACAGGTGCCTCAGTGGCAGTGGTACAACATCGGTTCATGTTACAAGTGAGTGACAGTCCAGCACAACCTATGTAGCTCTTGCAGGTGCGTGCACAAGCCCATACACACAAACATACAGACATACTTCGACACTTAAGAACATCTTTGTGTGATTTCTTTGTGTATGGGTATGTTTCCCCGTTAACCCACCCCACACCCCAAACATCCCACCCCCACCCCATACTTGAAAAACAGATATATCATTTCTCTGGCCGCTCTGCTGATGCTGCTTTGAATTATTAAAGCAGATGTGGAATAACTTAACAAAACCCTTGCAGGTGGGTGCCTAATCTTCCTTTGTGCCGCTTCCCTGGGGACTTGCTCATGTCTTCAGAGCATCATCTGCTCTTGGAGAGCATTGAGTTCCTCTGGGTTTTGAGGATGCAGCAGACTTGCTTAAGGTCTACTGGAAATCCCCACAAGCACACCACATCTTGCAACTATTAAATCTCTTGGTGATGACAGAAGCGAGAAGAAAAGAGAAAGAGAGAGAATTAATCAATGAGGTTGCCCGAGGAAAGTTTGAAAATTGGCATGCAGTGGAATCACATATTCATTCTTCAAAATAGGAAGAGAACATCTTTTGCAAGGACCATGCTCTGCATTCCATTACAAGCTTTTCATATCCAACAGTTCAAATAATAAAGATAAAAGTGACAGCACCTTTCTTCCATACTGGAATATACTCTCTATTGACCTTCCCCCTTCTGGTTCAATTACCCATGACCATTTGTTTTCTTCTTGCCGACATCAGATAAATGACCTTCTCCCTCTGAAGGTTTTACCTTAAAGACAGGTACACGCAAACTCAGAGCCTTCAGGCTATCATGATCCAGCCCAAGTCAGCAGCTACTCAGAGGCAGAATACAGAGTAAGAGGCTGTCAAAGTCAAAAGATTCAAAACGCTTCATACTGCGTAAGGTAGGTAGTCTCACACTGCTCTGACTGAAGTGAATTAAGAAATATATAATCCTTTTCTGCAAATGTTCGTAGATTTGATCAAATTAGCTGGTTATTTTGTTGATTAGATAATGACCTGCAATTGCAGGAACAGAGAGGCTAGTGCTTGGTTGATTACTGAAACAAACCCTCCAATATTTTTATCCACCTCTGCATTCTTTCAGCTGTACTAACTAACCATTTCCTCCCCTCCTCATTGTACTGAGTGACACTTCATTCAGGTTTTTGTCAATAAATAGGAATGACATACAAACAATGGTATGTCTAACCATAAAAGGCAATTAATAGACAACAAATGTCTATCTAGCCCAACTGGCTTCTCTCCCGCCCCCCAAACAATACCTGACATTCATGGCCCCACTTACATATAAATACATCTAGGTGTTGCTCGCTCTCTCAGTTTGGAGGTTCATACCATATATTGCCTCCTATTTTCCATGTTCTGTCCTACTGGCACTTTTAACAATGAGTCTTTTGTAAATGTGTGCAGACATGCACTTGACAGCAGCATTTCCCCCGTGAGTTTTTTTAAGCCCAGGCCTCTTCTTGAGCTGAGCTACAGCTCCTTAACATTGCCTGAAATTTGGCCATCAGGACACCTCTGAGAGGCCCTTCAACAGTCAGGCCCCACAGCAATTGCTACAAAAACTCCCAGCAGGCACAACCATTTCCAATGATAATGAATGTGAATGTCCTGCATGTGTCTATTCATTTATCAGGCTTGCTCTGGTGGCTTATAAAACCAGAGAAATGTGTAGTGTGGCACTGCTGCTTATCTATAGCTAGGTGTGTTGGCTCCCTAAGGTACAGGGTGAAAAGAGGTCTTGGTTGCCACGCCCTAACACACATGTCATCGTGGGCACAACGATGAAGGCTGGAATTGGGCAGAAATGCCGATACAGCATGGGAGGAGGGGGGTGACTGTGGATTGGGGTTAAAAAAGATGGGGGAGCACAAGAGAGAGAGAGAGAGCTGGGGAAACAGGCATGTCAGCAGAAAGGCCTCTCTGACTAATGCCCTTCACCGGGGCCCAAAATTACCTCCAACTCAATGATCCCATTCACAGCTTAGATGCCATCCCCCCTCTTGCCTGACAACACAAAAACCCCGACTAACCTCTCCATAGTGCAAGAGTGCCTCTCTATTGTCTGATGAGTCACGTGACAACTCCAACTCAGACAGACACAAATAGTTGGAGAGAGAAGGGGTGGGGGTGCGGGGGGGTGCACCGAGAGATGCACTTAATTTCAAACATACAATGTGAAGGCTGTGATTTCACGGAAGCAAAGAATATGTTCCACAATCTCATCTTTTGTGCCTGCCTGCCAAATGCATCGGCTGCAAGCGAGCAGGCTGAAAGTCCCTCCTAATGCGCTATAAATGTGACGCGACTGAAACTTCTCGTGTGAGATCATATCAATATGCCATCATTCATTTTATGGGAAGTGAGGTCACTGACAGTTGAGAAATACTCAGCGTAGGTGTTGCATACTGAGGTAAATGCCTCTCTGACCCAGCACTGGTAAATCTGCACCTCTGACAAAATGCATTCCTCACTAATGAATGTGACCACGTTTAGTACAGTGGCCTGCACTGGCAAGGAGACAATGCGATATGAAGCAGAGGCTTCCACTGAATGTGCCGTGAGAGACATCCATGCCAGCACCACTGTTTATAAGATCCCGTTAAGCCCCCACTGAAGCTCGCACTCTTGTACTTCAATTCAAACTGCTGTGATATTAAATTCTAAATTGTTGCAAGATTAGTTTTTGGTTTTTTTTCTAATGCTATTACTCTGAAAGTGTATACTACACCTTCAAAGCTGGTAAGTAAACAAACACCACTGTGCAACTTAATACAGCTGTTTTCATATACTGAGCTCATTTATTATTTTCAAGCCCTCCTATCGATATCTATATCTCTAGCAACATATAGGTTTTATAAATTATGCCAAATGATGGCTATTTTGGATTTCTGTACTCAAAAGTACAGAAATGATTGCATCATGCAATATTAAATTCTCATAAAACAACAACTCACTCATTATATTAAAAGCTAAATATTGATTCATTTAAAAGGCACATAGAGGCCCATGGTATGTTTGTGTTTTCCCCCCCTTTCTTTCAAAAATAGGATATTCTTCAGAGAAACCAACATGTAGCTCAAGCTTGGATCTGGGAATGATGATACTGCCTTTTGCCAGACTAAGCCCTTGAAGGCGTTTTACTAATGCATTGGACTTCAAACGCTCAAAAGCATTCCATGCATTTATAGCTAGGCCTAAAATATGTAAGGGATTTGCATGAAAAATATTGCAGTGTTTATTCTCCGTTCAGTGTCTCCAGCAATTAGGGAAACTAAAGAGGAATTGCATCAGAGCATAAACACATTTAACAAGCATCTGGCTCATTTTCCGAGCTTGATTGCAGTGACCATTCCCCTAGTATTTGGTTTATGCATATGGTTGGAGATCATTTTTTTTTCTCCCTAAAATTGCCACTTCAATTAGGGAATTATGAAGAGGCTCTCAAAAAAACACACTGATACTACCTTCCCTTATCACATACACATACATATTAGTGTACACACTCACTGGGGAAGACAATATACAACGCAGGCATGCCTAATCGTTCACACTGGGGTTTTTAAGCTCTCTTGATCTAGCAATCTGGCCCTTAGGAGATGGAAACAAATTTAATTTGTTTTGATGTTCTTTCCTTCTTCTTCTTGTTTTTTTTTAAACTTGCATTAATATCACATTTGTACATTTGGTCATTTTTTCTCTAGGGTACAGCAATCCCATTTATAAACTACTGTACTCAAAGACAATTACAATGCAAGCAAACTACCCACCAGGACAAGAATCATTTCCCTTTTCTCCAGGAGTCTCAACACTTCTCCATAGTCCTGTAGGATACAGTGGTTATATTCCAGCAATGAGCCACAGGGAAACATTACCCCTCTCCACTGGCTGCCCAATGCGAACACATCAACTGCATGCTTGGTACATACCCGCTGGGCTCTGACTAGGCTAAAATGCTAATCAAACGCAACCAACCACTTCCTAAAATTATCTTATTCCAGAAGAGAAAAAAGGTGGTTATTTCAAAAGAAAAATGTATGATAGTAGGTCTCTTTTGAATAAGCAATAATTAGCCTTTGAAGATGAGTAATCTCACTGGGTTAGTAGTGAAAGAGGGCAAGCAAAGGAACATCACAATTATGTCCAGGCCTTTGTTGGTAAATGAAACGATCCTGTGTTTTCCAGTACAATGACAGCCGAGCATTATGTGGATTACCGTGTCAGTGAAACGAAGAACTGATAAGGCTAAGCTGCATCTTTCTGCAGTTATCAGTGCATAGCTACTGGGGTTTT